TTTGATCTGCATTCGAGACGTTGGTTGCAATTGAAAAAGACATTACAAGCTCATTCTCATCAAGATTTTTCAATGAAGGAAAAGCTAAAGAAAGAGAAGCAATAACAAACGTGTTTTAGGTTAAGGTCGCAAATTCCTTGATTCTATTTAGTAAACATACCACTTAAGATGAGTCCTTTTCATCCAAAAAGAGAGGTATATATGTATATATGCAGCAAACATTTGTAACGGGCAGACTTCGCCTTCATCCTCCACATGTACATGTGCACTGTAATTTGACGCGAACGTATCGAGAGTGCGTGCAAACGATCACGAACCCGATTTCTGTCTCAACAATCGCCCATTTTTCGAGGAGAAAATGCAAGTTCCTCAATTAACGCCGAAGTTTTCCACAATTCTTTTGCGGAATGCAACCAGCGAAAACTGCACGTTTTTGAGTAAACGCTAGTGGCAACTGAACGAAAAAGAATGGACGAGGAGAATTGGGGCGATAATTGAATTAATCCCGGCTTTTCTTACATCTTCTGTAAGAAGCTTAAGCGAGAATACAAACCACTTCAACTACCTTCTCGTATTGCTTCAAATTTTTATTATTGCTTCAAATATTGCTTTCTAGGTTCGACTGAATACATCATTTAGCATTACAATTCATGTACATTTTGTGGATTTATTCAACTCTGGTTTGCGTGTCCCGGGTACGTGATATCTATCTCCTTCAACAGATTCTGATCACTTGAAGAACCTGTGGTCTAATACTTTATTTGTTGTTATCATCTGTTCCATAGCTTCGATGGATACCTTGAGCACTAAAAACAAAATAAAATTCAAATAATTCACACCTTAGCTTAAGGTCCTCAAATGAGACTGACCCAAAAATTACAGTTTTATACATCGTAATACATTGAGAATTTGTCTTCAGTCTGTATGCAATGGTTTTCGATAACTATACATTATCTAAAACTTATATATTTTTCGATGTCTACATTAAGCAGGTTGTTTATCCGAATAAGAAAGAAAGTAATTTAATATTAATTCACGTATACCTTTATAAGTATTTCAAAACTGCTGCTTAAAAGGGTGAACTCGGTTATCGTATGGGTCTTCACTATGCTCAAACTCCGTCTTGTACATACACACGGCACATTCCATCTTGCTCAAACCTGACTTCAGTTTTTCCAATGTTTCCAACGCCACGTCAATGGGACGCAATTCATCCTCAGATGATGAATCGTGCTAAGGGGAATTCTTTGGGGCATCCACAGGGTACGAAATTAACTTTTTCAGACAGTTGCCAACTGGTGACTGAAATTTATTTTTTTAGTCACCATATGGAATAATATGGTTGCCAAAAAGTGTCAATAAAATTTTTCCTTTGCAGCAAAACACAAACCAAAATTTTTGGTCACCACAGGCTTGCCAGCAAAATCAGATTTGAATCGATGTCATCAGGAATCAAACCAGTGCTCTCGTCATCTTTTGACTACTTTGACAGATCTACATTTCCACCTTTTGACGCCAGAGAATATCTAAATCTTCAACTAATTTCTTCACGGATGTTCCATCTCCCCTTTGTAATAAATTACAG